TACGAGGGCACAATAGGACAGAAATGACCGCGGTGCGAGGCCAAACACCACCTCGGCGGTGAGGAAAGGGTTTTAGTGGGTAAACAGCTTAGCTGAAGTCTCACACATACCAGAGCGACAGACCACCAGCTCTGGGAGTGCATAAAAGAGCATTTCCCAAACCTTACCGGAAAAAAAAGCATTATTTTGAAATGGTTCCATGTTTAATTGGTAGCATATTGGAATACTTAAGCATTCGAAAAGAAAAATGACGATCTTCGCTTCAAATTGCGAAAATTTTTTATATCAAATAAGTTTTTCTCAAATAAGTTTTCTTCTACAATTTTTGATTATGTTTTTTGTCATTAACAGATAGTTACAGGTCGATAGCCCTTGTCAATAATAACAATAATTTGTCAAACTGTGACTTACTTTGAATTTCCTTTCACGAATTTGCGGATATGTGATTAGTTCAGGGGAAATGCTACAGTAAGAGAGCAGAACCTGAAAGAACTCACGCCAACAAAGGGCGAGGAGAGTGGTTCCAGGAAGATAGTGGACGACAATCGATGTTCGTGTTCCAGGAACAGAGGAACAAGTATTGGACATAATCGAATCAGAGCCTTCCAGGGGCACCCAGAGCACGATAACTGACACTTTCCTAAGCACCAAATAAATACCGAGGAAAGGCTACATTCCTACCACGTTTGTACGATACACACAGCAGAAGGAGATATAAATGTAGCACGAGTTAATTAGCTGAATATGAGAAGCTGCTTGATCAGGTGGATAATAAGGAGATTACACAGGCACTAGCTTGTTTAGATTTAACCATTCAAATGTTTAGTGTTGTATGGTTGATTTATAAACACCAATTACAATACAATACCAAACATAGTTTTGGAATTATTTCTGGATTTCTCGCAAAATGCTACAATTCTAAATAAATGCGAATATTCAGATCCGCTCTTAGCATTTGCCCCAAATTTGGAGAACCGATTGAGCCTCAAAGCTCTAGTTGACATTGCGGGATAGAGACTTAAATTGCTCATTTTTTTATACCAAACATCGTTTTAGAATTATTTCTGGATTTCTCGCAAAATGCGACAATTCTAAATAAATGCGAATATTCAGGTCCGCTCTTAGTATTTGCCTCAAATTTGGTGAACCGATTAAGCCTCCAAGCTCTAGTTGACATTGCGGGATAGAGACTTAAATTGAGCATTTTTCATGCCAAATATCGTTTGAGAATTATTTGTAGATTTCTCGGAAAATGTAAAATTCTAAATAAAGGCGAATATTCATAACCCCTCTTAGCATTTGCCTCATATTTGGAGAACCGATTGAGCCTCGAAGATCTAGTTGATATTGCAGAATAGAGACTTAAATTGCGCACTTTTTTATGCCAAACGTTATTTTA